TTGATTTCCCATTATGTGATTGCAATAGACCCGCATTGATCCGAGGCTTTGCGCTCAGGAGCGAATGAGAGACCCATTAAAGGTGTTTGCGCCCCCCCCCCCTCCACCCCCTCCCAGCCCCAGTGACAGTCCAAACAGCCCCCGGAGGAGGTGAAACAACAGATGTCTCTTTAGGTGAACAAATCACTTAACAGGCGCCATCAGGAGGTGATAAAAACTCATAAATTCCCAGAGGGGCTGTGTGATGCTAAACAGCCCCTCTGGGAATAATAATGACGTGTGTGTGTGTGTGTGTGTGTGTGTGTGTGTGTGTGTTTTCCACGTGTTGACATTTTGCTCCATGCGCAAACTGGACACGCAGCGGCTGCGTGGGAAAGTTAAATAACCCGCAGGTTTTCTGCGTCTCTTAAGAATTTCATTTAAAGCGCATTAATTGTTATTGGAGCCGCTTCGGCGCTAATTTTGCGGGTCCTTTGTTAACGACGCTCTTAATTACCTGCCCCCCCACCCCTCCACCCACCCACGCGAAAAGCAGAGAGTTTAATTAGACAGAAAGTAGATTTTAAAAAAAGGGGGGTTTAATTACCGCTGACTTTTCCTCCTGTTGCACCTGAACTACACAACCAGGGGCGGATGTGGGGGGGGGGGGGCACAGCCCCTTCTAAATATATCTTGCCACCCCAGTTGCCACCATAAGAGGTTAAAATGTCAAAAAAAGTGACTTTATAAGTAAAAATGTGACATTAGTCAAAAGTTGGATATTTTTACAAACTTGTTTATTTTCTTTACAAAAATACAACCTAAAAAAGTCACAATTAAGTCGTTCTTTTTCTGAGGGTTTAAAACTGACCATGCAGCTCAGGGGTTAGCCATACAACTGGGAGCTTTCGTTCAACCAAGTAGCACCAGTTTTTATATAATAACATTTTAAAGACGTTTAACGAATAAACTGTTTTAATTTTCCCGTCTTGGCTGTGTTATGTTGACACCTGCTGGTGTGGAGCCACGAGCTCCTCATCCTTCCTGAAGATGGAACATTTTAGGCTTTGTTCTCAAACAAATCAGCAATAAAAAGTGTAAAAACAGAGTTTTCAAATGTTTACTGATGCATCAAAACCGTTTTACTTGTAAATATTGTTTTATACTGTTCTGATCACTTATGAAATCATTAATCGCTCAACTTTAAATCAAACTCATCAGTTTGGAGTTCAAATCCTCCAGTTTCAGCAGGATTTCATCATTTTTAAATCGACCAACTCCCGGTGCCTCTTTTGTTTTTTTCTCCAGTCCTGAGAGTTTAAACAGCTTCCACATCTGAAAAAAACGACATGTTTTCAACAAATCAGGCTGGAACAGAATCAAACTTTTGAATTTGGTCCCAAGTTAGCATCTGTTGTTTGATCAGGCATCACAAACATTTGGGGGGAAATGGTTTAAATTAAAACAATGATGTGAAAAATGACATGTCCATATAAGCTAATGTTTGTGAAAAACTGAACCTGAGTTTTTATTGAATCTGGGGGACAAAGAGAACGTGCTGACAATAAATGTTGCAATAAAACCTAAAAGTAAACTTTTCCTTTAATAAACTTGTTCACCCTGATGCTCTTTGATCAGGCGTTAATATAAAAGAATAAAAGAAGTAACTGAGGAGGTTTTGTGGTTTCAGGTCTGGTTCCAGAACCGCAGGGCCAAGTGGAGGAAGCGTGAGAAGGCCGGGGTGCAGGCCCACCCCTCAGGCCTGCCGTTCCCAGGCCCGCTGGCCGCGGGTCACCCGCTCAGCCACTACCTGGAGGGAGGACCCTTCCCCCCACACCCCCACCCGGCCCTGGAGTCYGCCTGGACGGCCGCTGCGGCGGCCGCCGCCGCCTTCCCGGGCCTGGCCCCGCCGCCTCACAACAGCTCGGCTCCGCCCCTCGCCACCCCGCTGGGGCTGGGCACCTTCCTGGGCACGGCCGCCATGTTCCGGCACCCCGCTTTCATCGGACCCACCTTTGGCAGGTGAGACCGCCAGAACGTAGGATGGAGTCCTGACGCAGCGTGTGAACTGGGACAGGACATGTTTCCATCTTATCTGGCAACCTGTAGCTGTTAGCCTGTAGCTCTGTTAGCCTGTAGATCTGTTAGCCTGCAGCTCTGTTAGCCTGTAGCTCTATTAGCCTGTAGTTGTTAGCCTGCAGCTCTGTTAGCCTGTAGCTCTATTAGCCTGTAGCTGTTAGCCTGTAGCTCTTTAGCCTGTAGCTCTGTTAGCCTGTAGCTGTTCGCCTGTTGCTCTGTTAGCCTGTAGCTCTGTTAGTCTGTAGCTGTTACCCTGTGACTCTGTTAGCCTGTAGCTGTTAACCAGTAGCTGTTATCCTGTAGCTCTGTTAGCCTGTAGCTCTGTTAGCCTGTAGCTGTTAGCCTGTAGCCCTGTTAGCCTGTAGCTCTGTTAGCCTGAAGCTCTGTTAGCCTGAAGCTCTGTTAGCCTGTAGCTGTTACCCTGTAGCTCTGTTAGCCTGTAGCTGTTAGCCTGAAGCTCTGTTAGCCTGTAGCTGTTACCTTGTAGCTCTGTTAGCCTGTAGCTGTTAGCCTGAAGCTCTGTTAGCCTGTAGCTGTTCACCTGTAGCTGTTAGCCTGTAGCTTTGTTAGCCACAGGAATTAAATGTGATCCTGAAATCCAGAGAAGTGGTGAAAAGTTCAACATATCTGCTAAATATGTGAGAATTTCACTTAAAAAAAGTTGTCCAACCTTTAGACTCACACTATGTTAGATGTAGTTTTATTTTGAAAATCCTGATATATTTAATAAAAAGTGTAAAAACTTGCCTGACGTGTTCCACTCTCCTCTCCCAGACTCTTCTCCAGTATGGGCCCCCTGACGAGTGCTTCCACGGCCGCCGCCCTGCTCCGCCAGCCGGCGCCCCCCATCGACAACCCCTCTCACGCCGGCTCCGTCCTCCCCGACCCCTCGTCGTCCTCCTCCTCCTCGTCCTCCTCGGTGGCGGCGGCGGCGGACCGCAGGGCCTCCAGCATCGCGGCGCTGCGCCTCAAGGCCAAGGAACACTCGGCCCAGCTCACCCAGCTGAACATCCTGCCCGCCGGGGCCGCGGGGAAGGAGGTGTGCTGAACACTCCACGCCAGCCTCCCCCCCCCCCATTCCATGACCTCCAACTCCCCCCCCTTACTCATACCTCTGGAGGCTGATGTCCTGATGCGCCCCCACCTCCCCATGTTCCCCCAACAAAAAGCACGACCAAATGCAGAAGAGCACTGATTGAAAACGTGTTTGTGATAATTCTATCACCTTCTCACAACAGATCTTTCTGAACTCAGAGCATTCACCCAGATATTTTCATCCAAAAAATAAAAAGATACATTTATATAGATTTTTAAAGATTTATCAACCCTTTCACAATCACCCAAAACGTGGATTTTTAAGATTTTTACTCAGACTTAATAAGAGCTTAGCTTTGATTTTACCCGTCCTTGTTTTTGTCTGTAATTAATCTTATTAAAATTATGATTGTTTTTAAATACGAGGTGAAAACAGAGCAAACAAAAATACATTACGACTGCGTTTTTTTGCCCAAATATTAACTGTGGGAATTGAACTTTTATTTTAGTTTTATTTTACTCACACACACACACAAACAGGGAAACCCACTTTTCCTTTAGAAAACCGTTCATTAASCGTGGACAACAGTCGTGCTCGACTTTAACAGAACTTTAATCTGTATGCATTTATATGAGCTGAGCTGGTTTTTAACAAAAGGCGAGCTGGAGGAGGTCTTACCCCCTACACACACACACACACACACACACACACACACACACACACACACACACACACACACCTCCTGAACCAAAGGAAAAAAAAATGTCCGTAGACCTTCCACAAGCCTGACTCGTCTCGTCTGCTCGCCCGTCCCGCTCAGCGGTCCCAACACTCTGAGCTCGTTGCAACATTTTCTTTAAAAAAAAAACAAAACAAAAACAAAAACAAAAAAAAAATGCAAATATTTTCTGCAGAGTCTGACTCCGGGACGTGCGAGCAGCTGAGATCCATGTGTATAATGACCTGACTGTGTGAGAGAAAACTGTAAATATTGTGTAAAAGTATAAAAAAAAAGAGGGGGGGGGGTGGAGGATTTTCAAAACAAAGGTCGTTTCAAGAGGCCGCGTTTTGAGAATTTGCACTTGCTGTAGTGTAACGAATGTGTAGAATCCCACCTGTGTTTATGAATTATTAGGTTTTTAGATGATTATTTATGTCAAGAGGAAGAAAAGCGAAGGGG